TCTCCTTGCTTCTCCCAGATCCACCCTTGTCCGTAACTACCGAATCTCCGGCGGGAGCCTCGGGGTCAAGGAACACTCCTTGTTCCAGGGCTTCCTGGGAGCGGCGATCCGGGCTAAGGTTGCTATTCTACCGCCGCCGGAGCCTTCCCTTCTCCAGGGTGGGGCAGGGATCCCGAGAGTGCGAGCAGTAGCTCGCCGTGAATGGACCATCTCCAGGGCCAGCGGTGGGCTGGAGAGGAAACGTGAGGAGTGGTGGTGAAGGGTCCTGATGTGGAATCTGGCCAGAGTGACCTTTGGGGTCTCAGACTCCTCTGTTAGATGGGGGTGTACCCATGGGAGAGGTTTAAGTGAGAGACTTTAGGCGCCCCTGAGCAAAGTGTGCTTGACATTTCTGCCTCAGGTGGTCAGGGCCTGTCATATGGGACAGACTGCTGGAGACCCCTGAGCTGACAGCCCTCTCCTGTTCCAGTCTCCAGGGCAGCCTAGGGTGGATCTGAGGCTGGTTAGAGCATTTTCCTCTCTCTGGATGGGTCCCTGTGCCTCAACTGCACATTGGAGGGGTTTCCTTCCTTTGCAGGTGGTATAACCACTCATCAGGCAGCTAACCGGAGGGCTGCACAGGAAACAGTGTGGGGGGGAAGTAGTGTCGCGTGCCCCCTCCCAGCATTCACCTTGGGGCAGCATCTTGTTTGTTGTTGCTCTGGAAGTGCCAATGTGGATAGCAGCCTCAGGCAGCTTGATGCTGGTATGTGGGGTAACCCAGGGTGCCTCTAGGAACCAGAGGGCCTCCCAGGTTCTCTGCTGCCCATCCTCTCCGAGGTTTCTTTCTATGCCATGTTCTCCCTGTGGGCACTGCACCAACCTTGGCCACTCAGGCAGGGTTGGTGGCGAGTGTCCCTGGCTTGTAGTTCTGAATCATTTAATTTGATCTAAATATGTATATTGCAGGTTGATAAAAATAAAATAAACATATTCCAAAGCACCCTGTGTCCTTGAGGATTTTCATCCAGGCTTGTCATGAGGCCTCATCCAGGCATCCTGACCACTCTTTCCCTTCTAACTCTAGGCCTCTTGTGGGGGAGGGACAGGTCCTGCCTCTGTTTTCTGTCAGCTTTCTCCTGGCTGGAGAGCAGGCACCTCTGTGGCTGCTTCTTACTTCCGTGAGCCAAGCTGTGGGCCAGACACCCTTCCAGGAGTTTGAGTGGCACTGCCCAGAGCCCAGGTGGGTAGTGGGCTTGGGTTTCAGGGATCAGGATTCTAGCCACTGTAGTCTGCTTCCTGTCCCTTTATGGAGATCTCAGTTGGCTTCTGCCCTGTTCAAGGCTGGAGACCTAAGCTACTCTTGGGGACCTGGTTCTGGAAAAGGGTGAGCTGAGGGGCTGGAAAGAAAGATGTCCCATCTCCTATCCTGTTCCTGCCCTAGACACGCCAGTTATGGGCCCATTTGTA